TAAAAGGTAAAAACAAAAATTCGTGATAAACGTGAATCAGCAGCATAGGATTCCTAGTTTTAGGCCTCCCTTATACGTTTAATACACAAATGAGTTCCACGTAGGAATAATTTCTAAAAGGAGACACCTATTGGCATTTTTCTTTCGTCAAATTTTGCAAATTTATTGTTGATACCATGACTTAAAGCGTTTGCTAATATATACTACTACTATAGGTAGAGCCACTTTGGGCATTATTGGGCCCTGAGAATTTCTGAATAATAAAAACCGCTCAGTTTAGGTTGGCAATGCACTATTTATCACTTGGAATGTTGGTGACCATGTATCTATTAATTGTGACGTAATTTTCCACCAAGTCAATGCATTATGACGTCATAAAATGCGTCATTTTCCTCATATCCTATAAATTCCATTGAAAATCACCTAAAATTGAAGCGTTTTTTCAATATTTCATATAGAGCACAACCTCTGATCCAAAATATGCAAATATATGATGAAAGCTCTGTTTCTGAAGATCATAAAACATGTTTTATTTTTTGGATCGTGGGTTGTGCTCATATTTAAATTCTTTGCTGAAGGTAGTCAAATACGCATGTTTTCTGCAAATTTCAAGTACATTGCAATTTTTCAAACCTGTTTTCCAATATATGGATTATCAAAAACAAAATTTTATTATAGAAAATGATGGTACCAAGTGTCCACTTTATTTTGATATATGAAATGGGAAAGAGAGTGATAGTTTATTAATTGATATAAGTACAGGGCCATTTTATGTATAAGATGGCTCTTGCTCAGTCCATAAGGATTACTAGGTTATATATATGTAATTAACCATTAACATAACAACAGACAAAAATTTAACTCAAAAATGTGTTTACTCAGGTTATGAAAGGGTATCTATGAACAGCATGAACTTTTACCAATAAGGAATGCTTGAAATCTTATAACAACACCAATAGGCATTTCATTACAAAAAAGTTAACAGAAAACCAGAGAAAAAATTACACAGTTTTTTGAGAAAGTCCATCATCACAAATAGTCGATGTAGTGTCAGTACGGAGTATGGCCTCCCCTTGCATCAATGACGGCTTGACAACGTCGAGCCATGCTGTCAATAAGCACCCGGATGTTTCCAATGGGAAGGTTGATCCACTCTTCAACGAGGGCGTTTCCCAGCTCTGCCAAAGTCGTGGGTTGTGCTGTACGGCGTAAAAGGGCAACTTGCAGCATGTTCCATACATGCTCAATCGGGTTAAAGTCCGGCGAGCGCGCTGGCCAGTCCATACGGACAATTGTCTCCTGTTGAAGGTTCTGTTCCACCATCCTGGCGCGATGTGGACGGGCGTTATCATAAATCAGGATGAACTCAGGGCCAACAGCACCAGCGTAGGGTCTAACGTAAACATCCAGGATCTCTTCCCGGTACCGCACCCCCGTCATTGTTCCTCTCTCCATGACATGAAGATCTGTTCTTCCATCCCTGCTGATTCCACCCCAGACCATGATGGAACCACCACCATAACGGTCATATTCACTGATGTGGGTATCATGAAAACGTTCACGTCGTCGTCGCCACACTCGTTGCTTCCTGTCTGTAAAGTCCAAACAATACCTGGACTCATCGGTGAACAGAACTGGAACCCAATCGTTCTGTGTCCAAGTGACATGGTCTTCAGCCCAGTCCAATCGCTCCCACCGGTGTCGCACAGTCAGAGGGATTCGAACACATGCCCTTCTCGAATTGAGACCTGCAATGTGAAGCCGATTACGTCTCGTCTGAGTCGAGACATTTACCACCGAAACGTTCAGGAGGTCGTTACGCAGGCTGGTTGCTGCCCAGAACGGGTGGCGTCGTGCCTGAAGAGCCACAAAATGGTCTTGGCGTTGAGTTGTTGATCTCTGACGACCACCCCCATGTCAGTGTGCTGCTGTACTAAAAGTTTGCCGTCGGTTCCAGGCTCTGTTTACAACGCTCTGGCTGACGTTTAGCGCATTTGCAACATCACGTTGTGAATAACCAGCGCCAAGCATTCCAATACATCTACCTAGTTGTTCTGTCGTTAGGCGACGCCTTACACGTTGAGGGGCCATTGTGTTGATAAACGTAGTGTAAACACTCAGGTCAGTTCTTTTAAATTTTAGAGAGAATCACACCGCTGCCTGAGTGAAAATCGTGCAATTGTAGCAAAAGTATAAATGTGACGAGAAACCATTTCCATGACATGAAATGCACGTGCAAGTTTGTTGAAGACATTTTTTTTTGCATTTGGACAAAATATTGCCAGTTATACAGTTATTGATTATCTAAATACAAAGAAAATTTCAATGATCTTTATCAACTTTTGAGTAGTATATATACAATTAAGTCTAATATTGTTTGACGCTTTTCACGAAATTTGTCAGACCGTTATTTCCATTCTAAATTGTTTACGGATTTTTGCTTAAATGGAGCTTACTGCAAAAGTCTCACACCAATGAGGTTGATGTTTATGAGATTATCATTCATTAATGTTTTACCAGCATTGGACATATTCTTTAATCTTGGTGGCCTCAAGGATATAAAATTTATTTCAAAATCGGTATTTGTATAAATACTCAGAATATGTACATTTCATGTTATATACCTCGCGAATATTCAAGGGTTTTAAGCATCCTGATATTTTAATAGGAATATTTTTCTAGGCCAGTGGAATGTATGTCGGTTTTTGTTGTGTGAGGTCATCGCACTGGATATCTGCTCATCATATGATTTAGTAGCCATCACCATCAATCGATACATCGCCATTGTGAACCCATTACGTTATCACGTCTACGTCACGGCAAGGTCAACTAAATACGTCATAGTATTTATCTGGGTCATGTCGCAAGGTGTTTGTGTACTAATGTTTACACTCTACAACCCAGGTCAGCACTTAATCTAAATTTAAACCAATTAATGTAATTGCCATAAAATTTTCAGCAAAAATTGAATGGCAGCTTCGTTTTTATCAATATTTTGTCTTAAGATTATTAAAAGTCAAATGCATTGATATTGCCGAAGTGGATATATCTGTTAAAAAATGAATTTTATACTCCACAGAGGAATACATTCTGAGACAGGAGCCCTTGTGTCGGTTCGAGCTCATCTTCTCCCTGGCTCATATGTGTGTCTACTTCATTTTTCAACTGATTCTGCCACTTCTATTAATGATTCCTATGTACGCTAGAATCGCTAATATTGCCAGAACACAGGTTTGTTGAAATTTTACATGCATTTTATCTACAAAAATTATGAAAAACATTTTTATGATGGTCAATGTTCATAACGAAATAGCATTCATACCTAATGCTAATAGCCTGAAAGTTGCCCATAACGTTTTGTTTTGTTCCATGTTTTTTTATTGGTATTAATAGTACTTTTTTCTCAAAGAATATCGAAATGAAATATTGAACGACTATTATATCTATACATTTGTATATAATTTATAAAAAAGTTTATAATTTTTCAAATTATAATATTCCCCCATTATTTTGTTGGACATAAAATATGTAACAAAAATTGTTGGTGAAAATTTTCGATTACTTCTATATGTAATAGCTAGTATTGAGAAATTTATATTTTAATCAAATGTTCTAATAATGATTAATTTCTTTTAAGCAAAGGCTATAGCAATTCTAAAACGACTTCCATGGTATAAAGACAAGGCATGTTGTTTTCACATCAACAATCATGAATTGAAGTCAACATTTATGGTCTCCATTCTATTAGTGTCCTACACAGTAGCATGGGTGCCTTTTATGACATACTCCTTTTACCGAATACAGTGTGTTCAGGATTGCTACTTCAGTCCTTTTATACGGTACTATATTTACTACTACTGTTACCCCTCCTCCAACTTCCACTACAAAAGCACGTACCCGTGTCTTTGATGGTATTTTAAGAAAGAGTAAAATTAATATGAAAAAAGTAAAACGATTATTAATGCGTGATTTTTTTCTATTACAGGGCAAGCTGCCGAATTTTGTTGTATCTCAACTCAGCTATAAATATATTTATTTATGCACTCCGTTTAAAGGAATTCAGAAAAAGCATCAAACATAAGTTGACACAATTTCTCAAAATGATTTTGTGTTGTGGAAAAAATGGGATGGGATCATTAAATACTCGCCAATCGACTGCTTCGTAAAAAATAAGCAAGTATATTCTTTACAAAAACTTACGAGAGAAAAATAGTGAATACAAAGAGTAATACAGATTGTAGAGGGACAATTTAAACAACGATGGTACATGTCAGTGTATAATGAAGTCAGCGAAAAATACATGTACTACATGTATTATTTTAAGCCGGTGACAATATGGACGACAATATGTGCAATGGGGATAGATCCTATTATCACCAAAAACAATGTGCACAAAATGTCGATAAAACTCAAAAAGACATATCAAATAAAATATATACTATATTTTGAAAATAATAGAAATGAAGTTACATAAATGCATCTTTTCAGGTTTTCAAATGTCTCCTATATATAAAATTATTTTTTTTTTGTTATTTAACTTTTAAAACAAGGGTTGGATTTGTCAGTCTTTGAGTTTGAATTTGAAATAAATTGAAGACATTTTCCTTTCCAAGGACTTGGTCATATTCTTCCATGTGATTCTACGAAAAATAAAAAAAACTTAAGGAAAGAAAGAGGTATTCTGTATTAAACTTGATTTTTTTTAAAGTTTAACAACTGCTTTATTTTGTACTTATATATTTTCACACTTCACATGTTTTAAAAAGAATCTGCATAATGCTTCCTTGTTCATTTTTATATAATAATGTACACAACCGATATTGATGTCGAGTTTTAGCACTTGGAGACTTTGACAAAAAAAAAAAAAAAAAAAAAAAAAAACAAATTGAAAGAAAAATAGAACGGAGTACATGGATCAGGGAGTTAATAGTTTCATAAAAAATGGCGCCTTCATCTGCCGCAAATAATAATGTCCTCCAGAATACCACATCATATTTAATAGACATTGATCCAGAAGAACCACACACATCTGAAGATCCTGGGATGTCCTTTTACATCTATTATTATGGGATGTTTTTTTATAATTACGTGCATTATCATACCCGGGAATATCCTGGTTATCAGAGCTGTAATGAGGAATCCCCACCTCCGCACGCCATGTAATATTTACATTGTGAGCTTGGCTGTTACAGATCTACTTCTTGGAGTAATGTATCCTTTATACAATGTTGCTCATCTAGAACACGTACCGGAAGTCAGTCGTCTGTTGGGTAATTACACTACTTTTACATTAATTTTACATTGATGTTTTCAGTTATAGAAACCAAAATAGGGAATTTTTTTTGTTTTGATATGCACGTTTGTCTGTCTGTCTAACATTTCCTCTCCCTCCTCTGTTAATTTGCAATAGAAATATATTGAATCTATAAAGAAAACTGCATTAAAAACAATTTTGACGGATTTTGCTGATATGGAATAGTAAAGAACTATATGCGGTAAATTGCATAAATTTGCCCCCACAAATTTCAAATTTTGAAAAACTTTCGAAATGTGCTGAATTCAATAAATTGTATGATAAATATAAATTAACAGAACATATTATAGTTTCAAAGCAGTTTATTCACAATTTTTGTTTTTATGACGTCACAAACTAGTCCGATTTTATATCATTTTTCAGAAAGAGGCTTAATGGACAAAATTTTAACAATTTTAGCTTTAAAATTTATAGAGCGCAAGTTTGTTCAGAAACAATACTTACATATTTCATTAATATTATCATTCTACACATTATATCAAAATATTGATCCTGAACACACATGCGCTCGGTGACTTCTACTCAAAATATCGACGAAATATGTGCATTTTTCTGTAGAATTCATAAAAAACTGAAATTTACGTCATGTTTGTGACGTCATTACGTTCATATGACGTCATTACTTATAAAACTATATAGTGCTTTGAAGTCAGCATATACTCCCCTGTTTAATACTTAATTAAACTTAATTAAATATACCTCCATCAAAGTTTGATTTGGGGGGCAAATATTGGTTATTACCGAATAAAGTTCTTTGTTAATGGAGTATTAAATGACCACGTCAACTTAAACTGGAGCATGATTTCCTTAGCATGGTTGTTCGAAAAGTTCGTGGACTCCTGTCATATCTTTTTCATTTAACATCAAAAACTAACCAAATTTGGTAGAAATATTTAAAAATAGATGCAAATGATTTTGATTTAAAAAAATTAAAATGATCACAATTTGTTTTATAACCTGTCCAGAATAAGAAACTGCTAAAATTGGATCGCGGATCGAGCGGTCAAAATTTACCAATTTACAAACAACATACGAAATAAATATGACAATTTCTTTAAAATGGACCAAAAACGTTAAAAATCCTAAACTTTTAAATTAAGAACTGTCCCATTGATTCATATTCCAAATTATGGCTTAAAATTTTAAATTGTTTAAAAGAAATCATTTTGGGAAGTAGGTTGTCCTTATTGAAAGCGACAAAAATTATGACGCTGTTGAACATCACGGTACCGGTACTCGGGAAACTTCCTGAATAAACTCTACAAATGTTGAAGGAATAAAGAATTATGTCACAATTAAGTGGTGCATGTGTTTATAAATGGTACAGGCGATATTTGAGGGACAGAGACTTTGTATCGAACAAAGACAATCTGAAGAAACCGTCTATCTGATAAAATCTGATCAAAAACCTTAAAAAATTGGAACGTTATGGAAAACCATTGATAAGCCCTTCCGAGTTTTAAATATTGTGAAAACACAGCTAAGTGTTTAAGTGAAACAAAACATTGACGAAGAAAATTATAAAACGAGATAATTGATAGAAAAATTAATTTCAAGTGCTAGAAAAGGGTTTTTGATAAATGATTATCAAACTAAACTGCTGAAGGGAGAGTATTTTAAAGAAATTATTAACGCTATACTTTTGACGTTAAGTAGGCTCATGGTGATTTTAAAATGAAGTAAATTGATTTCTATTAATTCGAATGAAATGAAACTTCACATATCAATAACATAAATATTTTTACACAGGATTTTGAGCTTATTTTAATTTCTTTTGAAAATAGGATAACAAAGATTGACATTTTGAAATGTTTTTTGTTATAATAGTGATAAAATTAAAAAAAAAAAGGCTTGATAAATATTTTCAAGCGAGTGTATATTTTTAGGTCAGTGGAGTGTGTGTCGTTTCTTGTTGACTGAGGTGTATGCCTTGGGTATTAGCTGTTCTTATCACTTAGTAGCCATCACTGTTACCAGATATGTCGCCATCTTTTACCCATTACGGTATCAAAGCTACGTTACAACCAAATCCACAAAGTACACCATTTTTACTATCTGGGTCCTATCCCATTGTACTTGCGTTTTGATGTTTACTCTTTATAAGCCAGGTAAGTATAATATCTATCGCTCTCTGTAAAAAGGTTAATCCATTGAATATAATTCCCAGTCACTTAAAACGTATCATTAAAAATTAAAATTGCAAGAAATACCTGATTATCCTTATATTTACCTTATGGAAGAGATTCTACTTATAAATAAATATATTTATAATCAAAGTATTATATGCTTCATGTTTTCTTCTCTTCAGAGAAATACAGCAGCAGATATGTTGGTGTTTGCCGCTATGAGCTGATCTTCTCTGTAACACATGCAATAATACTCCTTACTATCCAGGTTTTTCTACCTGTCCTAATCATGTTGACTCTTTATGCTAGAATCGTCAGAGTTGCAAGACATCAGGTAAGACTAGCCCCGAATAAAACTTCCTGTACCATTTTTATTTATAGTGCCACAAAAACATATGTTGAGAATGCACTGCTTTCAAAAGCATAGTCTGATTTGATTTTAATGTTTTTTCTTCACTGTCATTTTAACAGCAATGTATATTTTTTAGTATACGATTAAAGAAAGATGATACAAACCAAAAAATATATATATCTGGATTGGTATAATTTATTTGCCTTTTTTTGCAAATGATGCAAATAATACATTTATTTAAACCTTATTTAAACCTTCTATGATGATCCTTATAAAAAGTCTCTCACTTCATCTTTCATTATTGTGAAACATTACATATTACGTGGTAAAACCTTGTAAAGACTTGCAATTAATGACAATTTAAACTTTGGTAAATATTTTCTAGAAATGCATTGTCAGTTTATGTGTATACCATATATATATACATTGAAAGTTATCAATTGTACTTTTATTGAAGGCAAAGGCTATAGCTCTTCAAGAACGAGTGCTGAGAAATAAATGTGATAGATCAAGTAATGCATTTAATTTCATTCGCCGACAAGAACTGAAATCTACAGTAATGGTGTCTGTTTTGTTGGGCTTCTTCATAAGTGTATGGACGCCGATGATAATACTTTTTTTCCATCAAATAACTTGTGTTGAAAATTGCGTTCAATCTCCATTTATAAGGTAGGTATTTCCTTTGTTTGAGGTACTAATTTTTCTGTCGAAAAATATCAGGTTTATACTTGGTTTGATAAAAATGTCATTTATTTATAACCACTAACTAATTTCAATTCTCTGTAATAAAAGACAAAATCAGAACAATCCATCATGAAACAATCGATAAAGAGAAGTACAATTATATTTCTTTTATTATCTGTTAAACATTTCCTTCACATTGATCTACTTCCGATTGCCGGTAAAGGACGGCAAAATTAACTGTCTACTCGGCGTTGCTCGGGTCTTAGAGCAGTAAGAGATTCTTTTTGGACATTGTACCAGCACTTATTGCTGCTCTAGGCCTTGGTTTATACAGGTCCGTTCTTCAGGCAGTTTATTCGAATCTGCAAAGCTAGGATTAGTTATTTACTTCATAAAATCCCGAGATCAACTGGGGTTTGCTGTGATTGTTTTTCAATTATTCTAAGACAAGAAGGATGTAGTTTTGATAACCCCCGGGATGAAATTACATGACCTATTTATATAAAATATATAAATATATAACACAAACAAGATCTATATAAGCTCTGCATAATATATTGTATGAAGAATCGAATCACTTTAAAACTAAATAGATCTTATATAACATTTTAAAAATGATACGTAAACATATTATTAAACGTTTTAAAAATGCTTATTCTTTTTCTATTTCAGAGCTACTTGTCGAATTCTTCTGTATATGAACTCGGCTGTAAACGTATTTATTTACGCAGGCCGACTACCAGAATTTCGAAAAAGCATTCAAAAAGACATAACAAAGCTACAAAAATATTTGTGTTTTTGTAGACAGGAGTTTTGAAATGATTTCAGATTTGTAAACATTAAAACTGGTTTTAAAAAATTAGTTAAAACTGTGTCCACGCCCCTTTAAAATAAGCTTAAAAATACACTCGACTCATAAGCAATTGTGTACGATTTGTGGCGTGAAAGAAACCGAATCGGAACTTGTGACATTCTTCTTATTTAATACAACCCTGTAGAATTTATCTAGATGTGTGATTGTTGTTTAACATCTCTCTCCATTTTGTTTTTTTAATATTGAGACACTAACTCTAGCCGATAAGGCTGTCCATTCAGTTAAGGGTCTTTTTTATGCCAAAACCGTCTGGGACACGGGATCCTGCTTCATTCAGTCTCGCCCAAAGGGACGGTCACCAAATCCTGCAGGGATAAGCAAGGATAAAAATTCAGCAGACGCTTTACCCATTGCGCCACGAGGACCATAACATGTATTTCTTAAAGGAAAGATTGAAAAAAAAAATTGTTAAGTTTTATGCAAATATTATAACAAAACTGTTTTTATTGTTGTAAAACAAATGATTAAACTAACTTAGACATTGTATATTTTCAAGTCATGAACAATTAAGGAGTGTAAAAAATGTAATTAATTTAAATGTAACAATAAATAATGTGATTCTTGTTATGAACTATCATTTTCATACATAAATATCTTTCTGTATGATTAATGATTGAACATTAAAGAGATGGGATTGATTAAACAGTTCTTTTTGTTTGCCTAAACGCATGCATAAAATTATCATGCATGCCAATCCATTGATCATCTTCATGAAATCAAAAAATCTGACAGTTATTCCTTATATTTACATGCTCTTGATTCCGTTAATCCACGTGCTACAATCCCCGTTTCCGTCTCTATTTGTCCCGCCCCGCACGTGATTTTTTGTACAAAAACGTGATTGTTAGAAATGTGTTTTTCAGTAATGTCTTTTATGGATACCAGATATGCTCTGTTTGACACAAATGAAAACATAGTGTTGCAATTTGAATGGTCATTTATTAATAAATAAATGACAAAGCAAACAACATATGTCAACACATAGTATAATTGACAATACCAATACAATTAAACACATTGCGTAATAGAAACAAACGCATATAGCAAAAAACATCATATAATCTTAAGTTCACAATATTATTCAATAAGGTACGCAAAAATGTACAGTGAACAGAATGCGTATTTCAGACCTAAACAGTGTCAAAGATGGGGCAACATCCGCCCTTCTCATAATTTCTGAAACAAAATGCATGTTTTAAATTTAAATTTAAAAACCAAAAAGTAAAAAATAGGGCAACAGTCGCCCCAACAAATCAACAAAGAAAGTTATTTCAGAAAAGGAGGAGGGGTGGGAGGAGGCATCAGAAAATTGTAAAAATGTTTACCGCGAAAAATAAATATGGAGACTGACACTATCTTGCACACATGTGCAATTGTGATACACCAGAATCAAGGGGCCTCCCACAGGGAGAGGCTTCCAAGGGAAATAATAAAATAATGATACAAGAACTATCAGTATCAATAAATGTTTTTATGGATACCTGATATGGCGGTGCTCTGTTTGACACAAATGAAAACACTGTGTTGCGATTTGAATGGTCATTTATTAATAAATAAATGACAAAGCAAACAACATATGTCAACACATAGTATAATTGACAATACCAATATTAAACACATTGCGTAATAGAAACAAACGCATATAGCAAAAAACATCATAGAATCTTAAGTTCACACTATTATTCAATGAGGTACGCAAAAATATCCAGTAAACAGAATGCGTATTTCAGACCTAAACAGCGTCAAAGATGGGGAAACATCCGCCACCGATCAAAGCCACAAAGGGGTTTGATCCGCCCCATCCACCGCCATGTAGTTAACATTATTTATTTCAAAAATACAAATACACTGCAACCAGGAAAGGTATTCAAGTTACTAGAAGCACTTCTAAAAAGAAAACTTAGAATCTTTGTCATTTTTATCTTATAAGCAAAAGTTCCTGATCTCATGGTGAGTTTATTGTTTCCAGACATCATGGGAAAATACATTTAAAACTAATAAAATGTGAAATAGACAAACACAAAGAAAATGTACAGTGTACATATTATCACAAATTCAAGTGAAAAAAACCCTGCATTTAATGTCAAAGGCCAATAAAAATGTTGAGATAAACAGACTACCTTGTGCTGTCCGGGAGTTTACATTGTTAAATAAAGCTAACTAAAAGCTGCCTATCCATGTAAATGAACCCAGGTAAAATATTCATGATTGTGTTTTTAAATAAAACGTATAATAATACACAATTATGGACTCTTTTGGTGTTAACACCAAAAGTGTCCATAATCATTTATTATATAGTCCGAAATAAATAAGACATTGAAGATTGAATTTTGACACCAATTTCATTTTCGAAATTCGCTACTCGTAAGACGTAGCGAATGAGTAAAAAAAATGAGTAAAAATTATCCTGCAATAGATTTGTATATTTTTCCTGCTCAGATACGTAGGTCGTTTAGGTCGTTGCAACCATTGTTTACAACGTTGTTTGAGGATTGGATTGTGACGTCACAATGCCGCTTCACGCGCACTGACCCTCCGGTGAATATAGCCTCAAATCCAGTGAATATGTAGAGTTATGAACTGTTTGCGCTTGCATAGATTATATCAGGGAATATAAATAGACTATATAATGATGGGGTTTACCTTGTCGAATATATGCAACTTTCAGTTTCAAATGTTATTATCTCATATGTAAAGAAGGAATCTTCCAAACCGGTTCAATTAAGTGATTTTTGGATTTTATGAAGTAACGAAGTTTAACGAGGCCGAGTCTAAGTGGAGTGCGCATGACTTTACACAGCTTTTTAATTTCATGCAGTCATTTGTGCAACAGTACACTTTTGCCAAATATTTTTATTTTAATACAAAATTAACATTATCTGTAACCTCTACTGGTCTGAAAATGTGATTTTATGACAATAGTTAGGAAGAAATGTTGAAATGGCTCTAACGACGTCACCATTTTTGGATTTTGTAAGCAATGCACGAAGCTGAAAAATTACGCATGACTCGCTTGTATGTTTAAGACGTCCATGGATATTATAAAAAAAAAACTGATGACAGAACATCCAAAGAAATATACTAGCAATCTAAACATTGTTATTTTTAACCTAATATATCATATGCGCCGATAATTCATCTGCACTGATACGTATTTATACCGTAATATGGCAATTTTTCTCTCTCTCTCCCTTACAAAAATTCTATTTTAATTGATTGGAAATGATAAACTTAATTTAAAATCAATGTCATTTACAAATGTCAATTCCGTAGACACTTTATGCTGTGAAATGATAACAAAGTTCCTGGACTTTATACTTTTTATTATTATGTTTATTCAGGCAAAAAGTCAACTTCATTACAAATCATAATACAAATTACATACATAAATCAATTAGGAATCGGTTAAAAGTTCTAGCACATAATTGTAGCTATCACATTTGTTGCACTTGGTCAACTCAGAAATTCACACCGTCATGTGGTAACATTTATTGTTTCAACCTGCTAATGGATAGATATCTATTACAAAAAATAACAGTTTGTTGATAATTATACAATTCTCATTATTATTAAATTTCATGTTTTAAATATTAAATAACTCACACATTGACGGGCTAAATACATAACATTGTTTCGCTGTTGAAGAGTCCGTGCATCTCAAAACGGATATCACTTTTCTAAATAATAAAGTCCGAAACGATACGGACGAAATGTACAATTCCGAAACGTACACTCCCCCCACCTTTTGTCTGGGGATATGAAAAAAAAGTTCACTTAAGTTATATTTACACTTGTTCTTCAACTGGAAGAATCACAACTAATCGTCGAACTGATCTGCAAACCACCGTATCTGGACAACTACAATATTAAGGATATTGGTTCAGATTTTTGTATCTAAGTTTTACATCCCGAACTTTTCCATCACTTCCTGGGTTTGCCTCCGAATCTTGTGCCAGTTTCCATTGACCACGCACATTATTTGAATCTTGAACAAGTACAATGTCACCATTTTGAATGTTTCTCCTTTCATGATGCCATTTCTGTCTTATGATAAGGGTATGAAAAAAATCTCGTGTCCATCTTCTCCAAAATGTATTCACCACACGTTGAACAAATTTCAAACTTATTCTGGGGTCCTTGCAATCATCCCAGTCTCCTACAGGGACTCTGGTGCTTGCCCTACCTAACAATAGATCGTTCGGACAAAGATATGTACCTTTAGTAGGGTCGCAATTTTTAGTACCAATGGGATGTTCATTTAGTAGATTGGAAACTTCAAAGAGAACAGTTTGTAACTCTGAAAATGTCATAATTGCTGATCCAATGGCAGTCTCAAGAGAAAGTTTTGTTGAACGAATAAGCGACTCGCTGCAACCATTTTCCCAGGGTGCGTCCGCTGATTTTGTTGTCTGCCAATCCATGCCTCTAGCTTTCCCAAAATTCTTGAAATCTTCCCAATCCCAAGTATGTACAACTTTTTGTAATTCTTTCCCGGCAGCAATTAGTTGAGTACCTGCATCAGAAATCATTTTTCTGGGATATTCTCTGATGGAAACAAAACGTCGTAGTACCATAAGGAAACTGCGCATATCATATCCTTCTGCTATATCAATATATACTGCTCCTGAAACTAAGCAATTAAACAAGACACCATAACCTTTCCCATGGGTCCTTTTCTTAACTGCATCCTTGATTACAAGAGGTCCAAACAAATCAACAGCACACATGTAGAGGGGAGGGGTCGGTTTAAGTCTCGTCTCTGGCATTGGACCCATCTGTTGATTTTGCATTGTTTTGAATTTTCTTCTACATATTACACACCTAAATTTAATTCTGCTTATAGTGTTTTTTACTTTGGGTATCCAAAATCTGCTACGGATCTTTGCCAGAGTAACGTCAATCCCTGCATGATCTTCATCATGTATTGCTTTTACTACATATTCTTTAAGAAGTGCAAATGTTGACTGATTCCCGGTTTCTTCTATCCATTTATTCATTCTTTGTCCAACTGTAATAATTCCATCCTTTGTTCGTTCAGGGCCAAGACGTCGAAATCTCTGCATAGCATTGTTTGGTAGATCCATTTGAGCATGTAAAATCCAAGCCTTTTCAGCCTCTCTTATAACTTCAGCTGTCACATTTTTCAGAATCTTTTTGAATGAGTGCACCTTGAATATAAGTTGCAGAATACCAGTGAGTCTATACAGCTTTTTCAAGGATGAGAATGACTTCCCCTCACACAATAACCAAATTGATTTTTCATCAGCTGAAGATTCCCGACACCGTCAACTCTTGTGGGTAAAAGAATGCTACAGTCTGATCCAATCAGTAAATCAACCTCTCCACATGGTCTGTAGATATCAGAGTCTGTAATTCCATTAAATAATTGTGCTATTCCACTAACGTCTACTTTGCCTGCATTTGTTGTTATTTGCTCCATACCGTATCCTTTAATTTGCCAGGTATTGCCATCCTTGTCAGTCAAGGGGATTATATATTCTTTGCTATGTAGTTGTTTCCTAACATTTCCCACCTTCGTGATACTGAGGGTAACATCTTTTCCTTGTAAATTAAGTTTCCTTGCTGCACGATGTGAAATTAACGAAATATTTGATCCTGGAACCCACAAAGTTGATAGGAAAACACTTACACTTAACTTCACTGATCATAAGTAGGACATCTTCTCCAGGTTCTTTGCTATTAACAATTCTCACAATGTTAGCAACATTTCCCTCTTGACCTTCTTGATGCAGTGACGAGTGATGTAATTTTCCACAATGTTCACATCCTTTCTTTTGAGGACAGTATTTCGAGATATGTCCTGTTTTTAGACAAATAAAACAGCCTCAATTTTTTCTGAGTAAGTCCATTTTAGCACTAACGTCCTTTCCGTTGAAATTCCAACACTGAGAAATATAATGTGTATCACTGTTATGGTACCAACAACTCCTTTGTGATGGCGAGGGTCGACTGAATCTTGGTAGATTTTGATTTGTTTGATGTCCTTGACGAACAATTTCATTGATGCTTGCTAGGCCGTCTACAACCTTTTGGAGGACTTCTTGATTGTGCTTCATCTGAACACTTAGTTGATCAATTGGAGAATGTGAATTTTTCTCTGCTACATGTTGGATTCTTGCTTTGGAGTTATTCCTTATTTCTGATTGCATGTATTCCATAGCATTCTTTTCTTCTAATAGAAATTCAAGTAATGGGAGAAATACCTCTTATTTCCCAGCATGTTTCTTTTTTTGTTTCTTTTTTTGTAGGACCCATTCTCTTTTTTGTACAGGGGGTAGAATTTTTTCGTTTTCATTCACTATTGTCGCTGTATTCATTTCTCTCTCCATTTTCATTGGTTTCAAATCTAAATAACATCGTTCAATCACTTCAACGCTATTAATAAAGCTGATATGGTCCCCATCGGCTATGACTTGAGCTTTTGGATGTCACTTAAAATTGAATCTGTTAGTTTCTCTGGTCTGCCGTACTTTAACTGCAGTCTGTGCCACATTTCTTCATAATCGTTATCCACTCCTTGAATGACTTTTAATGCCTCTCCGTGTAGCACTTTTTCAGAGCAAATGGGTCTAAGCCATACGATGGTACCATAATACATTCATAATCTCTTTTGAAACTTGGGTATTCCCGTATTGCACCGCTAAATGAAGGTGCATCAAGTTTTTTGACTTCAACTGTTTCCTTTTTTGTTTTTGTCTCTAATTCATTTTGTTTAATCTTTTCTGCTAATCTTGTCACGTGTAAACGGCACTCACATAATTCATTGTACATTTTGTCCATGTCTCTATCAACATTTTCATGTCACTTGCTTGTAATTCATTTTCTAGATCTAAATATTCTATATATTCTGCATGACTTCTTTCTAAATCATTATAGGACGTTTCTAGACCTCTAAGAATATTTTGTAGTACACCATGGTCCTCCATATAACTTAATTCTCTAAATACGTTGTATATTCTGTGAAACTTGCCCTTTTGCGTTGAACGCCGACGCTTCTTACCCTGTAGCTTAGGATCTTTCGACTCTTCGGGTGGCGGCATGTTCCCTTTGTGTTGAAATGTTGCACTTGGTCAACTCAGAAATTCACACCGTCATGTGGTAACATTTATTGTTTCAACCTGTTAATGGATAGATATCTATTACAATAAATAACAGTTGATAATTATACAATTCTCATTATTATTAAATTTCATGTTTTAACTATTAAATAACTCACACATTGACGGGCTAAATACATAACATTGTTTCGCTGTTGAAGAGTCTGTGCATCTCAAACCGGATATCACTTTTCTAAATAATAAAGTCCGAAACGATGCGGACGGAATGTACAATTCCGAAACGTACAACATTAAAACAATATCACTCCAGGTATTATCACAGTTATCATTATCACAGGTTTATACTGATCTCAACACCAGATCTTATCACATGTAACACAAATTAACACATTTTTAATCAATCTTTGCCTAGGATAACCCATAAAAGCAATATATAAAAAATGCTTATTTCCAGTGGGGTCCTAAGATGTTACAAGTTGAATAATATATGTCTAAGACAACATAGACAGAATAAAAAATAGAATTGAGGATTACATAATTTTCCTAGCCTGAATAAAATAATTTGACATATATCTACATATTCACAATTTCAGGTTAATACAAATTATTTTTAAAAAGTTTCATACCCTTATAAAAATATTATATATAAATACTTTCTTCCCTCCTTCGAGCTTCTTATGTAAGATGCAACATATGTCTATTTGGATTTGACATATTTATATTGCACAGTATTTTCTTGTGTCGTTGTGTCAAACCTTTGTAAACTTACATTTTGATAAAATAATCTTTTATGATAGAAATGTTTACCTTTACAGGAAATATAGATTTTTTTTAGTTTTAGTTGTAGTCTGAAAAATTGGCCTGTCTGTCCTTAGACAATTATTCGTTTACATTGTTGAAATAATTGACAAAATATGAAATAAAGATGTTTAAAAAAAGTATTTGTATTTAACTTTAAGAACACTCTTCATTAATCTGTTTAATTTTACCAACTTGTAATTCTAGGTATTTAGTTCCCTTTTAATCGTCAAATCCAAATAGACATAAGAAATTAGAAAAGTTAACTTTTGTTTTTAAAAAAAAATTTTTTTTTAGTTTTTTCTCATTTGAAATTGCCGCAGCATTCAATCAACAAGAGGATTTACCAAATTCTATTTTCAAAATATAATAATTGGTAGTTTCCTTCTCTATGGTACCTATCTACTAACATAAAAGTCCTCTATTTTAAAATCACAATTGCATGTATCGCACAAAAGTACAAAAGCCCAAATGCCAATTCATAATTAACGAAAGACCCCCCTACAGGACGGGTTTCCAATTGTCCTGCAGCACCATGCAAAACAAGGTCAGGTGTAGCAGAAGTTACTGTCACGAAACCGGTCCCTCACTTCTCACAGGTCTAAATTCTCAGCCCTCAACCAGCAAGTGATCATTTTAATATGAATGAAAAATTAAGCAAACTAAAAATAAACAAACAGGTTTCTTTTCTATATTTTTTTCTATTGGATATAATTCAGTATTTATTTTTAAAATTTAAAACAAATAAATAAAGTTATACTCAATTTTAGATAGGAATTAAATTTTTTCTAATATTTATGTCTACTGCATAGACACTATCTACTTTGCTAAAAGAATGCAATGTACGTATCCCGAATAAATAGTGCGAGAGTATAGTTGTTTTTTCAATAAAAAAGAAAGTTTTAGCAAATACTTTGTCAATTATAAGAAAATGAATGTCAACATGACTCATTAAAACATATTAACAAGCTTGACACAGCTGTCGCTATGTTGCCAGTAATCAAAAGTGGAAGTATGTCGATGTATCAATGATAAGATTTTTTATCTATCAAGATCTAATGCGCTGTTTTCAAATAAAGCAGAATGACAGAAGAATTTTTTATTTACATGTATTTACCTCTTGATTGTTATTGTTTTGAAATATACAACTGCGTATTTTTGAATTTCAGAGGAATTATAGATTTATATTTCAATGGATAAACTGAATAATATTTAATAAGTATAGTAGGAAAAGTTTAGAGGATCTTGACAAAAGGTTATGTCAACAAAATAGATTAAGAATGATACATCATCAATAAAATAAATACAATGATGTACACAAGGTATCTCTACAATGGTGTACATAAAGTATTAATTCAATGATGTACACAAAGTGTATATTGAATAATTAATACACAATGGGTACAATGATATTCAATGATAAACAATGATATTCAATCAATGATGTACGCAAAGTGTATACATGTATTTACACAATGGGTACTATGATATTCAATGATATGCATTGATATGCAATGTTATGCAATAATATGCAATGATATTCAATGATATACAATGATAAATGAATTGCAATGAACAGGTAGCAATGTATTACAAAGACAATGGTCTATGTCGACTTTATCAATAGTATATGACCTAGAATCAATAGCAATGGCACAATGACGGAAGCTCAATTATTGGCCACTGGCCCTGGAAGATAACAGGATCAGCAGCGAGCTTCTAGCAAAATTCGGCCATATGTCTTCATATGGGAGCTAATAAAGCGCGGCATGTGAAGACATCCGCAACTTGCGGCAAATTTTGCCCATGCCATGAAAAAACTGCTATTTATTACAATTATGAAAAATTAATTACTGTTTAATATATATGCAGTATACCGTAGAACTAGGGAAATTTTATATGAAGATCAATAATATATGTAATGATCGATAACTTTTCAATAGCTCAATAGTTGCAAAGATCAATAATAGAATGGTCAATAACTGTTCAATAGTTCAATAGAACAATAGCTGCAAAGATCAATAATATATGTAATGATCAATAACTGTTCAATGGTTCAATAGATCAATAGTTGCAAAGATCAATAATATATGTAATGATCAATAACGAAATGGAAATGGTAGGTAGCACTGCAAATTTTGACAAATTATTTTGATTATGTCACACTGAATGGCATAGAGGATAATGGTAGAATGTGCTATACGGGAAAGGTGAACACCCTCTGGATACAAATTTGATGAGCCCTGTTGAATATTGGGGTGGTGAATATACCCCCACCCCTTGTAGTAATGAACCAGATTTTGAATATTTGAATGGTTGGACCTTTTTCCAGGTCATTCCTTGTTGACCAAACCATCTGATATGGATGTTGTATTGTTCTAAGTCCAATTCGCATTATATAAATTGATGAATGTGTGGTTTTTTTTGCATAATACAATTTAAGATGATCCATTAATCCACACCATGACAGAAGTGCCTGCAATCTTAGGATAAATTTAATAACAGTAAAAAGGTGTTGTCAAGTGTCTGACTGACTAAAATTGAATGTAAGTCTGAAATGCATGGACTTCCATCTCCCTTTAATCTTTATATAATCTTCAGACAAGCCTGAAAAATTCAAGTGTGTAGCAACCCCAATTTTAAGAGTATTACCCTTAAATGTTTTAGTGTCAAAGCCAAGAAATGAAATTAATTTCTGTGGCATTTAAGTAATGGAATAACGAGAAGGCTTCACGCCAAATTAAATAAAAAACTGAATGTGGAATGTTGGGTCTAATTGACAAGTAGCTGTGAAGTATTTTAAATAATGAAGATGTTTCTTGGTTTGACAAAATGTGGAAGATATATATACATGTATTATTATGCTTTTGCTTTTTTTTTATTAAATCAATTAATTAATTTACTTAATTATATTTATTTGTCTATCTATTTATCTATTTATACGAGGGCTGTTCAAATATTACGCGGATTGTGCTATTATTCACTCTTACAGACGTCATAGAGTTATGAAATTTCACAGAAATATGTATTTCAAAGATTCCAATAAATTTTGGTCAAAATTTCTGTATTTTAAAAAAATTCTACTAAAATTATCGGTATGTTGATATCGCTGATGGAGAGGTACGGAGCACGCTATACGGGAGGACAGAAAGAAGATTATCGATGATAACTTTATCCGGACTGAAAAGAACGTGATTGAGAGTCACCAATATCACACTGTATCTCATAAATACCTGCAGTTTTTGGTTTTAAAACAAAAAAAGGATATTCTTTACTTGTTTAATAGATTTAAAGCTTGACAAGAAATGGTGTGTGGATGTTGAGTAGATAAGATAACTCAAACTGTACAGGTACTCTTGGGAAAATGTTGAGAAAATGAAAGCTCAATCACATATTTTTTGATAATGTCTGTGACGTTGAAGATTTTGCTGCTCCGTGACTTAATGATATGTCCTGAAAAATCATCCAAAATTGATAACAATCTACAAAATTTTGATATGATATTTTGAAGATCATATAAGTAAAGATTCCTTTATATTATGTGCGACATTTTGCCCGATTATGTCGTCAAATATTTTTTCTGTGCAGCAAGTCCGCGTAATTTTTGAACGGCCCTCGTATTTATTTATTTTTTATTTATTTAACTATTTATTTATTTATTTATTTATTTTCATTTATTATTATTATTATTATTTTGATTATCTATTTAATCTATTAATTAATCAACTTATTTATTTATTTATTTTTTTATTTATTATTTTTTTAAAATTAAATTGTCTATTTATTTATTATTATATTATTAGCATAATTTTTAAATTATGGGCTAAAGCTGCATTGTGAAATCTTTAGCTACATGCCACACTTCCTGATAAAACTTTACTGTTTAACGAAAATTGAATGACAAATGCCACAGCTTTGAACAACACTGCATTTGAAAGGCGGGCTTCCTGAAATTGACAATAATCAGCCAAACAAATTTTAACTCTTTAAAAATGTGCTCTGGGATGAATATGTTTTGGCATAATTGTTTTTGTTACTTCATACCAATGTATTTCCGCCATATCACATGTAGCTTGTATATTATTTTTAAATTTGTATATATTGTACATATATTGTTTAACCTCATGTACCATTTATACGGTTTGAGTGAATAAATTAAAGTTGAACTTCAACTTGGCTTGTGGAATTTTTAACTAGAACAAGAAATGTTAAATTAGTGGTTGGGCCTTCAATTTTAACCTGAATTAATTGAAATTTCTATTTCCTGACAAGTTTGTTAGTGTTTAGGTAGTTTCTAACACACTAAGGAATCCTTGAAATTTATTTATTCGATTATCTATTTCATGTTAAATACGTTGTGTGGCCTACAATTTAAAGCTGATTTAATTGGAATTTGTATTTCCTGACAATTTTGTTGAAATGTTTAGGTTGTTTCTAAGACTCTAAGGGATCCTTGGAATTTATTTATTTATTTTATTTGAAATAAGTGGTTGGGCTTTCAATCTTAATCTGCATTAATTGGAATTCCTATTTCCTGACAAGTTTGTTGAAATGTTTAAGTAGTTTCCAAAACTATTTATTTATTATATTTTATTATTTATTTTATTTTATTTATTTATTATTTTGTCTGTTTAGTTATTTATTTATTTTTTGTTACCTACTGACTGACAATCCAATGGAGTTTAGAAGAAAATTTTTCCTAAAGTAAGACATCATCATTGAACACCAAAGGAGCATGCACTTATAAATGTTGGACACTGAATGTTTTGCTCAAGGAAATCATTCCATTTTTCTTCGTAACTTTTAAGGATCGTAAAATAACATTTCATGCATTATATTATGCAAACTCATCATCATAAAATAATTTACTTTTCACTATAAACATTTCCATCATAGTTTCCAAATGAAATTCCATTTACAACACAAATAGACATCACAATATACACAAACTTCACTAAACACAAATCTTACCAAATCTATGGTATATGAACCTGATCTACAGATGGTTTCCTTCTCAATCAGTCATAGCTTACCCTCAATTCTCACACTCCCTGATCTGTGACCCTTTCTTCAAAAATATTTCTCAACCACTGTAAAACATGGAGGCACAAACAATGGTGGTGATGATTGAGGTGATGTCAATGCTGAAATAAATAAATAAATATTGAATAAATAGCATATATCAAGACAAGCACAAGTGTTACAACAAGACTGTCAAGAGATCAGCTGATTGTAATCTCTGTTGAGATTCTGCTGGGCTAGATATTTGGACTGACGCCCGCAGAATCTCTGGACAGCCATTAAAATTTCATGTCTGGAAATCAAGTCCCAACTTCGGCCGACTATAGCAAGAATAATTCACCTAAGCCACACAGCTGCTCGCTTTATTTAAGTCATTTGGTTGTTTATTTGACTCTCTAACACTTTTATTTCTACATTGCTTACCTTTTAGGCATGTAAATCCCAACATAAATATATTCACTGAAATTTCAGTTAAAATAAATATGGCTCATGTGAGGAAATTGTTTACCTCCTCAAATAAAAGAGTTCTTATAGTCTGTTTTTACCCTAATTGATGTTCAATGGCCACAGAAGACATTAGTTAAGATTCACCAAGGGGTAAAAACAGACTATAAGAACTCTTTATTTGAGGAGGTAAACAATTTCGTTAGAGGAGCCATATTTAAAACTGAAATTTCAGTGAATATATTTATGTTGGGATTTACATGCCTAAAAGGTAAGCAATGAAACATGAAATATTAATGGCTGTCCAGAGATTCTGCGGGCGTCAGTCCAAATATTTAGCCCAGCAGAATCTCAACAGAGATTAAGCTGATTGATGTACAAAATAATTCAATTAAATGGCAAGTAAATATTAACAGTTAAATTAACAAAGTGATAAATGCCACTATGGTTGAATGCGCAGAAAATGTCTTTCTTAAGGTTCGTTCACAGACAAGTTCCTCGCTGCACTTAAAAATTAAAACAATTTTACCGACACATGTTTACACGGAAGCCATGATGGATGGAATACTTTGCAGTCCGAACCCGATGATATGTGACACCGATCTATGTCGTGGCGGATCCAACAGGCACGTGATCACTGCATGGTGGATATTGGTAATGTCCAGTGTATGCATTTACCATTTGTAAACGTTAGTTTTAATTACAACGAAAAGTTGGTTTCGATTTCACCAATATATTAATACACTGAGGTCACGTTCGCAAACAAGAGTTCATTTACTGCGATAGTTGCTGCACAAGTGGTTAATATCGTCGCTGGGGATGTTGATACTATAGATATGCTATGAAATATTCTCACATCGGGTAATATGGATGGGCGCTTAGTCCAGGATCTATTTGCCCTGATTATGTTCATATTTCCGACGTTGGACGGTCAAAGGAACACCAGATGAAGATGAATATTGTTGAGACTAAACTCGATGCTGAGCTTCAATGGATGACGGAAGATGGAAAGGAAGAGCAAATGCACATGCGTAATGGATGTGGCTAAATGAAGTCAGTGCATTTGAGTGAGAGTTATCTCCCCTGAACTTTTTATCTCTATTTGTCTCCATAACGGGACTTAACTCATATTGAGTTAAGTCGGATAAAAAATAGTCCAAATTTTTGTATTGAATTACATGTATATGGAAAACGAATCATAAACATTGGATTCATAACGTATGTCTTTATGTTTTGTTTCGAACACAAATAAGTTGTACGTAGGGATACTGTATTCAGGGAAATTTTCGCCCCCGTTTTATTTTCGCCCCTTTCGCCCTACCCTCTTTTGGGCGAATTTAAAACGGGGCGAATTCAAAGATTACAGTATCATTTCTTAAACATAACCATAAGTGGGCGTATTTAAAATGGGACAAAATGGTTTTCAAGTGTAAAAGGGCGAATATAACACGAGGCGAAAATAACCCTGTATACAGTATAATCTAAAAAGAGACAGCTATTGACATTTTTCTGAAGTCTCATTTTGCAATTTCATAGCTGATACCATGGATTAAATTATTTGCTAGCGAATACAATTAAGTCATATGCTGTCAGACCGTTATTACCATACTAAATTTTTGCGTAAAAGGAGCTGACGGCAATTGTCTTACAATAATGAAGTTGATGTTATGAGTATATAATTCAATAATGCTTTACCAGCATTGGGCATATTCTCCAATCTTGGTGGCCTTTATACATTAGGATGAAAGAATTTTAATTCAAAATCGGTATCGCTGCAGTTTGTTAAGACAAGTTTTTGTATAACTACTTATAATATGTAATATACCTCGCAAATATTCAAGAGCGTTAAGCATTCTGATATTTTAATAGGAAGATTTTTCCAGGCCAGTGGAATGTATGTCGGTTTTTGTTGTGTGAGGTCATTGCATTGGACATCTGCTCATCATATCATTTAGTAGCCATCACCATCAATCGATACATCGCCATTGTGAGCCAATTACGTTATCACGTCTACGTCACGACAAGGTCAACTAAATACGTCATAATATTTATCTGGGTCATGTCGCAAGGTGTCTGTGTAATAATGTTTACACTCTATAATCCAGGTCAGTACTTAATCTAAATTTAAACCAATTAATGCAATTATCATAAAATTTTCAGCAAAAAATTGAATGGCATCTTCGTTTTTTACTAATATTTTGTCAAAAGATTATAATAGTCAAATACATTGATATGCCTAAGTGGATATCCGTTAGAAAATTAATTTTATACTTCGCAGAGGAATACATTCTGAGACAGGAATCCTCATGTCGGTTCGAGCTCATCTTCTCCCTGGCTCACATGTGTGTCTACTTCATTTTTCAACTGATTCTGCCACTTCTATTTATGATTCCTATGTACGCTAGAATTGCTAATATTGCTAGAACACAGGTTTGTTGAAATTTTACTTGCATTTTAGCTACGAAAAATTTGAAAAACTTTTTTTTATGATGGCCAACGTTTATATCAAATTAGGGCATAATGCTAATAGTCTGAAAGTTGCCCTTTACGTTTTGTTTTGTTACATGTTTTTTTTATTGGTATAAATAGTACTTTAAAAAAAATATCGAAATGAAATATTGAACTTTTATATCTATACATTTGTATTTAATTTATAAAATCTTTATAATTTTTCAAAATATAATTTTCCCCATTATCTTTGTCGGACATAAAATATGTAACACAAAAATTGTTGGTGAAAATTTTCGATTACTTCTCTTCGTGGTAGCTCTGGTTGAGAATTATTTTAATCAAATGTTCTAATAATGATTAATTTCTTTAAGGCAAAGGCTATAGCAATTCTGAAACGACTTCCATGGCATAAAGACAGGGCATGTTGTTTCCACATCAACAATCATGAATTGAAGTCAACATTTATGGTCTCCATTCTATTAGTGTCCTACACAGTTGCATGGGTGCCTTTTATGACATACTCCTTTTACCGAATACAGTGTGTTCAGGATTGCTACTTCAGTCCTTTTATACGGTACTACATGTACTATTACTATTACCCATCCACCACCTACCACTACAAAAGCAGTTGTCTCTGATGGTATTTTAAAAAACTGTGAAATTTATTTTTAAAAAATTAAAGTAAAACGATTATTTATACGTGATTTTTTTTTCCTATTGCAGGGCAAGCTGCCGAATTTTGTTGTATCTAAACTCAGCTATAAATATATTCATTTATGCACTCCGTTTAAAGGAATTTAGAAAAAGCATCAAACATAAGTTGACACATCTTATCAAAGCAGTTTTGTGTCGTGAAAAAAGTGGGAGGGATCATTAAATATTCACGAATCTACTGCTTTGTAAAACATATGAGAAGTATTCTATACAAAAACCTACGAGAGAAAAAATGTGAACACACATGGCGCTACAAACTTTAGGGGGACAATTTAAACAACAATGGCATACATGTATGTAAGTGTAATGTCGTCAGCAACAAATACTACATGTATTATTTTAAGCCGGTGACAATATGGAGAACAAATGTGGAATGGGGATGGATCCTATTATAGCAAAAACAATGTGCACAAAATGTTGATAAACTCTAAAAGTCATATTAAATAAAGTTTGTACTATATTTTGACAAAAAATAGAAATGAAGTTATGTTAATGCATCTTTTCAGGTTTTCAAATGTCTCATATATAAAATTATTGTTTTTTTTGTGGTTTTAACTTTTAAAACATGGGTTGGATTTGTCAGCCTTTGAGGTTGAGTTTAAAATAAATTGAAGACATTTTCCTTTCCAAATACTTGTCCATATTAAAATTCCTCCATGTGATTCTACGAAAAATAAAAAAATAAGGAAAGAAAGAGGTATTTTGTATATATAATCTTGATCTTTTTTTAGGTTCACAACTGCTTCACAACTGCTTTTTTTTTGCACTCATATATTTTCACACTTCAAATGTTTTAAAAAGAATCTGCATGATGCTTCCTTGTTCATTTTTAAACAACAATAATGTACACAACCAACATTAATATCGAGTTTTAGTACTTGGGGACTTCAACAACTAAAAAATTTAAAATAGCGAAGAGTAGATGAATCAGGAAGTAAATGAATAAAAATGTAAAATGCCTTCATCTGCCGCAAACAATCATGTCTTCCCGAATACCACCACGTTTTTAAAAGACACGAATCTAACAGAACCACACACTGCTGAAGATCCTGGGATATCCTTTTACATCTATTATTATGGGATGATTTGTATAATAATGTGTATTAACATAACCGGGAATACCCTAGTTATCAGAGCTGTAATGAGGACTCCCAACCTCCGCACGCCATGTAATCATTACATTGTGAGCTTGGCTGTTACAGATTTACTTATTGGAGTCATATATCCTTTATACAATGTTGCTCATCTAGAACTCGTGCCGGAAGTCAGTCGTGCTTTAGGTAATTACATTAATTTTACATTATTTTTTCTGTTTTAGAAACTAGGAAAGGGCATGTTTTTTCGTGTTGATATGCAGGTTTTTCTGTCTGTCTGTTTTACAACAATTTTTTGGAATAGAAATATGTTAAACTTGTTTTGATGAATTTTGATTGAATCGGATAATAATTTTCTTTATGTTCCTTAGTTCTCCTGCCAAACGACTGAGCTTGTTTTTTGATAAACAGGCAAAAATAAATAACATCATGCTGAAGTGAAATATGTCATTTATTAAAGTAAATGACGGAAAAGCAAAACACATTTAACAAATTGGGGGTCAGAAAAAGGAGGACTCAAATATAGAGTATTACACATCTTAGTCAAAATATTACACAATCTGACCCCCAGCACCATAATGACATTGTAACATGATGTACATAGGCAAAAGGGGGGTCAACCAGACTAGAATAATAATTCCAACCCTGTAATATTTCACAAGGTACAATATACATGCATTTTAAGTTGACCCCCTTATAAACATCATAAGTTTGGAAGACATATACAAAATGCTCTAAACTGCTGCCTGTCATCAAAAAAGGTGGGAAAACAAAATAACAAACAGCCAATAACAATACAATCGCGCAGGCATTAAATTGAACACAACTATGTTTCTCTCACCGCCGAGGAAAAAACATATATAAAACGCCACACTGCTTTATGCTGAAAAATCATATGGAAACCTGCAGACATAAGCAAAATTGCGAGGTACACAAAATAAATGTCGGACTCATTCTCAGTAACCTAATACATGGATTTGCCATTTATTACAATGTACAAAAAATTTACTTGTTCAGTAAGAACCTGGGGTAGAAATAAGTACTATAAATCTCTTTTAAACCCATTCAAACACTATCAAAAAGGATTGGTAAAACATAACAACAAAATATCAACCTGAAAGAAATTACAAGCATTGGTGGCAGAAGGGGTGGATGGTGGGTTCGAAAAATTCAGCAGTTCAATAAACCATGCTTTCTCGTTTGGTAAACGGATCAATAATGATCAAGTGGAAAAGGGTAAAATTAGTTCAAAAAGGGAACCGAATAGCTACTTAGTATAAAACTAAGTCCAATACAGACACTGTTTTATAATAACATAATAAAACAAGAACATGTCACATAAATGAAATTATTTGCAATAATTACTATTTTATGTTCCTTAGTTCTCCTGCCAAACGACTGAGCTTGTTTTTTGATAAACAGGCAAAAATAAATAACATCATGCTGAAGTGAAATATGTCATTTATTAAAGTAAATGACGGAAAAGCAAAACACATTTAACAAATTGGGGGTCAGAAAAAGGAGGACTCAAATATAGAGTATTACACATCTTAGTCAAAATATTACACAATCTGACCCCCAGCACCATAATGACATTGTAACATGATGTACATAGGCAAAAGGGGGGTCAACCAGACTAGAATAATAATTCCAACCCTGTAATATTTCACAAGGTACAATATACATGCATTTTAAGTTGACCCCCTTATAAACATCATAAGTTTGGAAGACATATACAAAATGCTCTAAACTGCTGCCTGTCATCAAAAAAGGTGGGAAAACAAAATAACAAACAGCCACAATCCAATCAGAGATTGGATCCACCCACCCAAAGGCGTCTTGGCAGGAGACGCAAAATTCCTCAACAGGATGATTAATACAAAAGCATTTAAACATCTTCTTTTTTTTTTTTATAAATTGACATATACTCAGTTCAAAAGACAATACAATAGTTATTGTGAACAAGAAAAAGAAACATCCAATAAGACTGGGTGAAAACATTACAAAGGGCAAAACATCAAATAATTTTAAAAAGTGTACAAAACACCTGTCTGTAGTAAATATTAACCAGACAGCAAAATGGGAATTTATAATCATGGACAATGACCTTGTCAACTGCAGACAACTTCTGACCAGTCAACAAAGTTGTTAAACTTACATCATTCTGCATCAAAATGTGCCTCTTGACTGCAGACAACATCTGAACAGTCAACAAAGGTATCAAACATACACCATGCTGCAATCAACAAAGTTGTTAAACTTACACCATTCTGCATCAAATATGCCTCTTGACTGCAGACACCATCTGAACAGTCAACAAAGGTATCAAACATACACCATGCTGCAATCAACAAAGTTGTTAAACTTACACCATTCTGCATCAAAATGTGCCTCTTGACTGCAGACAACTTCTAACCAGTCAACAAAGGTATCAAACAAACACCATGCAGCCTTAAAGTGCCTCTTAACTGCAGGCAACTTTTGTTCAGTCAACAAAGTTGCTAAACATACACCATGTTGCATAGACATAAAAATATGCCTCGTGACTGCAGACAGTTAACTTCCGAAGCAGTCAACAAAGGTGTCAAACATACACCATGCTGCATAAAATGTGTCACATGACTGCAGACAACTTCTGACCAGTCAACCGAGATGTCAAACTGATAAAAATGTTCCTCTTAACTGCAGACAACTTCTGACCACTCGAGAGGAAAAACAGATAACCAAACTGAGGATTTAAATTTGTGAGGATAGGTATAAGGAACCAACAGACAACTTCTGGCTTGGCTTGGCGGAATCACACAATACAGATAATGTCATACATATGGTATAACGCTCTGATATACTATTGGTAACTGATGTCAGCAAGAGACATTTCAAATAAATTGATAAATACTGTGTATATTTAAAGTAATGAAACTGCCTCAACACGTATGGCCCCGTGCTCAGTGACATATAGCATAAACAAAGTGGTATAAATTCCTTAACACGTATGGTCCCGTGTTTATAAAATCTTCCATTTACAACATTTGACCCATTAAACACGTATGGTCCCGTGTTTAGAAAGTCTTCCATTTACAACATGTGACCCACTAAACACGTATGGTCCCGTATTTAGAAAATCTTCCATTTACAACATGTGAATCACTAAACACGTATGGTCCCATGTTTGGAAAATCTTCCATTTACAACAAGTGACCCATTAAACACTTATGGTCACGTGTTTAGAAAGTCTTCCATTTACAACATGTGACCCATTAAACACGTATGGTCCCGTGTTTAGAAAGTCTTCCATTTACAACATGTGACCCACTAAACACGTATGATCCCGTATTTAGAAAATCTTCCATTTACAACATGTGAATCACTAAACACGTATGGTCCCGTGTTTAGAAAATCTTCCATTTACAACATGTGACCCATTAAACACGTATGGTCCCGTGTTTAGAAAGTCTTCCATTTACAACATGTGACCCACTAAACACGTATGGTCCCGTGTTTAGAAAATCTTCCATTTACAACATGTGAATCACTAAACACGTATGGTCCCGTGTTTAGAAAATCTTCCATTTACAACATGTGACCCATTAAACACGTATGGTCCCGTGTTTAGAAAGTCTTCCATTTACAACATGTGACCCACTAAACACGTATGATCCCGTGTTTAGAAAATCTACCATTTACAACATGTGACCCACTAAACACGTATGGTCCCGCGTTTAGTGAAACATTCCATGTACAAGATGATCTAACTATTCAAATACATATGGTCCTGTGTTTAGCCAATATCTATTACATGATGTAACATACTAAACATGTATATGGTCCTGTGTTTAGTCAAACATTTCATGTACAAAACATCTACTTTCTAAACACGTATGGTCCCGTGTTTAGAGAAATATTTTTATATACAACATGATGCAACAACTTAACACATATGGTCCTGTTTTAATTGAGATATTCCATATACCAAGTGATGCAACTTTCTTAACATGTATGGCCCCATGTATAGTGAAACAACATTGCATACAACAATCGAATGCATAAGCTTAAAAGCATCATCAATAGAAATTGCAGGGTTAATAAGCATGTATTTTTTCCTGTATGACAGTAAATCCTCATTAGGATACCATTATGCTACAGTAATTTGCATTTGTCAAACGTATGGTCCCGCTCGACGGCTACTGAGCTCTGCAGAGATTGATTATAGAGATGATCCATGAACTGTGTTCACCCTTTGTTTTATATTTTGTAGAACAACTATTATAGAAAATATGATTTCACAAAATGTGTTTCTTTTAAAGGACCTGTGATTTTACCATTTTCTTTCTTTTTCCATCTAAAAATATATATATTAATGATCCTATGATCACCCTAAGTCTTCTTTGATTTCTAGAAAGTTTTATTTTAGGTAGTTTAGTACTATCTGACATGAAACTTGTAAATGTCCCACTGATATGACTTTCAGTTTACTAGATCTTGATCAAAGCTTTGAAATATTCAAATGAATCTCTTTATCCTGAATGAGGTTAGTTTTTAGATTAAAGTTTTTTTTTTTATTTTTATTTGTTTTTTTTTTGCATCGGTCTATTGAGTTAAAGTGATTGGAATTTAAAATTTTGGGCCCTGCTGCATACCTCTAACCCCTGTTTCAGAAGAATTGACTAAAGTTTACTTCATGTACTGATAAAACACATGAAGTGTATAAAAATCATTATTTCAAAATTAGGATATACATATATATATATATTTTTTTTACAGAAAGTATTGAATTAAGTGAAAAACCATTTTATCCTGATATTATCTTACTCAATGGACTTGTTGACAGAGCAGTCCCCAGAAACATGAACCAATACATCACCCAAACTAAAAGTGGCTGTTGCCACAATACTTTGCTATGTTGAGGCAATGTCCTTGGTAATGGGCACTTGTTTGTCCACTGTTGTGTTGTCTGTGCATGCATATCTGATTTCTGACTGTTGTTTCCACATGGCCCATATAGTTTCTGCAAGTGTTACCCAGTGTGGATAGTGTCTGTTTCTAATTTGGTGGGATAGGTAACTCTGGAAAAATAAAAGTGTAAACTACTATCCAGTATATGATATTCATTTTTTTTTTAATCAAGTGCTCTGATCTAAATCAATATTTTAAGCCATGTCCTATACAACTGAACAATCAGAACATGCAAGATAAATTCTTAGAGAATGACATAATTATTTTACTTTGGGTATTGCACAGCTGCAATAAATCAACAGGGAATAACAGGTTATGTAAATTCCAACATGAGAATATGTCTACATATATATGCAGCATAAATTATTCTCATTATAACATTATATTACCAAAATAGCACTTCAAAATTTGCATGTCATAATATACTACCATGCAAGTCTTGCACAAATCACAAACACAAGTGCATTATTGTGCATATGGTCCTGCACAATCCAATAAAATACATGTGTATATGGTATATGAAAATCAACAAACACAAGTGCATTACTCTGCATATGGTCCTGCACAATCCAATAAAATACATGTGCATATGGTCCTACACAAGTCAACAAACACAAGTGCATCTGATCCTGCACATTTTTCCCTGCAAAGTTCAACAAAATTCATGTGTATATGGTCCTACACAAGTCATCAAAAATGTGTGCATAGGGACCTGCATGAGTCAACAACTTGCATGTGCATATATTGTCCTGCACAAGTGACTAAGTCAACAAAATACATATGCATATGGTCCTGCACAAGTGACTAAGTCAAAAAAATACATGTGCATATGGTTGCGTACAAGTCAACAAAACAAAATGTATGTCAATTTGGAATAATTATGTATGGTTCTGCATGAGTTGACAAAATACATGTGAATATAATTCTGCCCAGATCAACAAATTGCATGTGCATATAATCTTTCATGAGTCAAAAGGTAATACATGTGCACATGGTCTTGTCCATGTCAACAAAATACATATGCATATTGTTCTGCACATGTCCACAAAATATGCGTACATGTTCCTACAAGAGTCAACCAAATGTGTCAGTGAAATGAATGTGAATATGGTCCTTCACAATCATAAAATACAACATAACGTGTAAATCAGTGGTGGGTTTGCATGGTAAACATAAGTTGTGTATGTGGACCTCACTCTACACTAATACTCAGTAAAAGGTCACCTGAAACTATGGTGTGCACCCTTAGCAACAATACTATATCAGCATTAAATCATGTAAATCATTCTACTTATATACAAGCTGTGCCTATGACCTGCACAGTTTATGTGATAAATGTGTATGTGGTCCCACGTACACTATATCTTGATTCAACAATTGAAAATTTGAATGATACACGATTTGTGTACCCATATAATGACAATATTTTACCAACATCATATAGGCAACTAACTCCAAACAATATTTTTGGCTCCATGAACAACTTGAGTAAACTTGAGTAAGATCATTCATTGTTCAAACTCTTAAAAGGAAAAGCAGAATTTGTTACCAAGTATAATACCTGTATTGGTAAAAATATTGCAAAATTATATATGGAACCAAAAAACTTTAGCCTTTAATTATGAGCTAATTAACTTAATTTTAATGGATAACACATGCCTTCATCAGAAGTACTATACTATACTGGCCTGTTTTAAACTGGGAATGCAGGAGTGTAAAGTGAATACTACATCAGCATCAATGGAGATCTCATAACTTGTAAAAAGGTAACACTCGTCACTGCTGAGCTGTTTATATTCACTCATCAATATCTGGTTTGTGTAGATGATTCTGACATTCAAGTCCTTGAAGAAGTGAAAGGTTTCCACTGTAACAAACAGGTTCTTATTCCCCGGCCAAGGTGAATGTAAGAAGCAAACTGTCTTGTGATATTTTGGATGGACAGTTAATAAAAATGATGTTATTACATAGATGCACATTTTCTAAGCTCAGCAAATTGCAAATCACCGTAAATAGGCAAAAGTTCCTAAAGGAATGAAGTTACCGGTGTGATTGATAAAATCTCCAGGCCTGATCACGGTGTTAGGATTAACGATGTAGGTGAATCACTGACGGCCAGTTGCAAAAACCTCCCGGGAAAAAGTCTATACACTGTCAGGTCTATAATGTAATTGTATATTATTGTTTACAGCAGAGACCTACAGCGAAGGGTCTATGTTTTTTACAGCTGACATAGTTCATGTAAGAGTTTTCGGGATCTCGAGCCCGACATTATTTACTACATATTTTACACCACTGTAGATACACTGACACTGTTTATCGATCGTTTACCAAATTTACTTCAGTTGACCATATTATTCCCCAGACGACTCGTAGTAATAGAATATCCATGTAAGAATCGCATGTAAAGTATTTTGGTCGTCCTGAATTGCGACTTCCTCAGCATGCTTAATGCCCGCATGTAAATTTTACAAGGCCGATTTCGCAACAAAAAATCACTTTACAGACGTTTTTCTGCAAATAACAAGCAGATCACATCGTCCGAAATCTTCAAAATGGCATCACAACAAAAGTTGTAGGATTTTCTTTGGGAAATATGGTATAAATTCGAAAAATTCAGCAGTTCAATAAACCATGCTTTCTCGTTTGGTAAACGGATCAATAATGATCAAGTGGAAAAGGGTAAAATTAGTTCAAAAGGGAACCGAATAGCTACTTAGTATAAAACTAAGTCCAATACAGACACTGTTTTATAATAACATAATAAAACAAGAACATGTCACATAAATGAAATTATTTGCAATAATTACTATTTTTCGAGTATCAAGTGACCATGCCAACTTTAATTGGAACTGTATGGTTTCCGTAGCATAACTCTTCATAATTTCTAAATTTGATTAAACAATTCAGTCACATGATATCAACTGATTCCTACTTCAAGGAATTCTGATGATGATATAATTTGTCTAATGAAACATGAAGAGAAATCAGAGACACACAAAATCCGATGCTCCGATCATATGAAATATGTAAATAAATTAATTTAATAAAAATATTGTCATTTAATCATATTGTTAATTCAAAGAATTAACAATGGAATACAGAAACATGCAAAGTTTCGCCACTAAAATTTGTCACTGTTTATTCCTCAACTACAGATTTGCTCAAATTAAAACAAAAGATTAATGCATGTTCTTTTTTTCAAGGCTGACAAGCAAACAATATTGTAGCACCATTATGGTCCTTTTTGAAATGGTTTTTGTTAAAATAGTGCTAAAATTACTCATAAATGTAGACAATGTCAATTATTAGTGGATTAGTGGATTAGTGTACCATGATTAATAAATAAAAAAATAAGGCATTGAATAGAGCAAAGAAAACAAAAGAAAAAGGTTTTAAAAATATTTTTAAGCGAATCTACATTCTTTTTAGGTCAGTGGGGCGTTTGTCGTTTCTTGGTGAGTGAGGTGCTTGCCTTGAGTACTAGCTGTTCTTATCATTTAGTAGCCATCACGGTTACTCGGTATGTCGCCATTTTGTACCCGTTACGGTATCATCTCTACTTCACAACCAAATCCACAAAGTACACCATTTATAGTATCTGGGTCCTATCCCATTGTACGTGCATTTTTATGTATACTCTCTACAACCCAGGTAAGTACCATACATGTACCGTTTTCTGTAAAAAGGTTAATCCATTGAATATAATTCTTAGTCAGTTAAAACGTATCATTAGAAAATAAAAATGTAAGACATACCTAATTATCTTTATATATACATTATGGAAGAGATTCTATGCTTATAAATAAATATAATTATAATGAAAGTACATGTATTATATGCTTCGTGAACATGTTTTTTTTCTCTTCAGAGAAATACATCGGTGTTTGCCGCTATGAGCTGATCTTCTCTATAACACATTTAATTATACTCCTCATAATCCAGTATTTTCTACCTCTCCTAATCATGCTATCTCTATATGCTAGAATCGTCAGAATTGCAAGACATCAGGTAAGACTAGCTTTGAATAAAACTTCCTGTACCATTATGAATATTGACACAAATGCATATGTTGAGAATGCACTGCTTTCAAAAACATTGTCTGTATTATAAATTTTGTCTTCATCTTTCTTTATTGTGAAACTTTGAATTAAACATTGATAATTACGTGGTAATCGTATATATAAGCATATATATATAAGCATTCAAATTATCACTTTTAATTTTGCTGACAAAACTTTGTTTGCATCATCTGTCCTTGTTGTTGTTAACTAAGACTTAGAAATAATGACAAAATAGACTTCGGTAATTTTTTTTAAAGAAATGTATTGTCAGTACATCTATGCCATATACATTGAAAGTTTTTAATTGTACTTTTATTTAAGGCAAAAGCAATAGCTCTTCAAGAACGAGTGCTGAGAAATAAAAGTCATGCATTTAATTTCATTCGCCGACAAGAACTGAAATCTACAGTAATGGTGTCTGTTTTGTTGGGCTTCTACATAATTGTATGGACGCCGATGATAATATATCTTTTTTTCTATAAAATAACTTGTGTAGAAAATTGCTTTCAATCTCCATTTATTAGGTAGGTATTTCCCTTGTTTGAAGAACCTATTTTTCTGTCAAAAAATTATCAGGTTTATACTTGGTTAGATAAAAATGTTATTTATTTTTAACCACTAATTAAATTCTCTGTTAAATCAGACAAAACCAAAACAATACATCATGAAACATCACGATAGAGAAAAGAACAATCACACAAGTTACTGTTGTTCTTTTATTATCTGTTAAACATGCCTCCAAGAATTTTTCCTTCATATTGATCTCAGATTGCCGGTAAAGGACGGCAAAATTAGCTGTCGACTCGGCATTGATCGGGTCTTTGAGTAGTGAGAGATTCTTTTTGGACATTGTACCAGTATTTACTGCTGTTCTGGACCTCGGTTTATACAGGTCCGTACTTTAGGCAGTTTATTCGAACCCGCAACGTAAAAATTAGTTATTTACTTCATAAAATCCTGAGATCAACCGTGGTTTTCTATGATTGTTTTTCAATTATTCTAAGACAAGAAGACAAGAAGGATGTAGTTTTGATAATCCCTGATATGACCTATTTACATAAAATATATAAATATATATTAGTAACACAAACACGACTTTTTTTCAAGATCTATATAAGCCCTGCAATATATATTGTATGAAGAATCGAATCACTTTTAAACTAAACAAATCTTATATTACATGTTAAAAATGATAAGTACTAGTAAACATATTATTCAACGTTTTAAAAATGCTTATTTTTTTTTCTATTTCAGAGCTACTTGTCGAATTCTTCTGTATATGAACTCGGCTGTAAACGTATTTATTTACGCTGGCCGACTACCAGAATTTCGAAAAAGCATTCAGAAAGATATAACAAAGCTACAAAAATATTTGTGTTTTTGTAAATAGCAGTTTTGAAATGATTTAAGAATTGTAAACATTAAAACTGGTTTTAAAAGATCTGTCCATGCCCATTTAAAATAAGCTTTAAAAATACAACTTATTGGCAAGTGTGTACGATATGTGGCTTAAAAAACCGAAAAGAAACTTGTGTTATTCTTCTTATTTAATACAACCCTGTAGAATTTATCTAGATGTGGGATTGTTATTTTACATCTCTCCCTATTTTGTTTTTTTAATATTGAGACACTAACTCTAGCCGATAAGGCTGTCCATGCAGTTAGGGATCTTTTTTTATGCCAAAATCTTCTGGGACACGGGGTCTCGCTTTATTTAGTCTCATCCAAAGGAACGGTCACCAAATCCTGCAGGGATAAACAGGAATTAAATTCAGCAGACGCTTTCACCATTTTGCCACGAGGACCATAACACGTATTTCTTATAGAAAAGATTTAAAAACACTTGTTAAGTTTTATACAAATATAATAACAAAACTGTTTTTATTGTTGTAATACAAATGATTAAATTTACTTAGACATTGTATATATTCAAGTCATGAACAATTAAGGTAAAAAAATGTAATTAATTTAAATGTAACAATAAATAATGTGATTCTTTGATCATTTTCATACATTAAAGTCTTTCTGTATGATTAATTATTGAACATTAAAGAGATGGAATTGATTAAACAGTTCTTTTTGTTTGCATAAACGCATGCATAAAATTATCACGCAAGCCAATCGAATGATCATCTTCATGAAATCAAAAAAATCTGACAGTTATTCCTTATATTTACATGCTCTTGATTCCGATAATTCACGTGCTACAAGCCGCTCTTCTGTCTCTATTTGTCCCGCCCCGCACGTGATTTCTTTGTACAAAAACGTGATTGTTAGAAATGTGTTTTACGACGACGTCTTTATTGTTTCCAGACACCATGGGAAGATACATTTAAATCTAATAACAGGTATAAAATGTGAAAAATAGACAAACACAAAGAAAAGGTACAGTGTACATATTATCGCAAATTCAAGTGAAAAAAAAGCTGCATTTAATGTCAAAGGTCAATAAAAATATTGAGATAAACAGACTGCCATGTGTTGTCCGGGAGTTTACATTTTTAAATAAATCTAACAAAAACCTGTTTATCGATGTAAATTAATCCAGGCAAAGTATTCCTGATTGTGTTTTTAAATAAAACGTATAATAATATACAATTATGGACTCTTTTGGTGTTAAAAAAAGTGTCCATTGTCATTTATTATATAGTCCGAATTTGAATAAATAAGACATTGAAGATTGAATTATGACACCAATTTCATTAACTAAATTCGCTACACGTAAGACGTCTAAATGAGTAAAAATTATCCTGCCATAGGTTTGTATAATATTTCTCCTGCTCAGATACGTAGGTCGTTTCGGTCGTTGCAACCATTCTTTACAACGTTGTTTGAGGTCTTGATTGTGACGTCACAATGCCGTTGCACGCGCACTGACCCACCGGTGAATACAGCCTCAAATACATGTTCAATGAATATGTAGTGTTATGAACTGTTTGCGCTTGCATAGATTATATTAGGGAATATAAAAAGACTATATAATAATGGGGTTTGCCTTGTCGAATATATGCAACTTTCAGTATCAAATGTTATTATCTCATATGTAGAGAAGGAATCTTCCAAACCGGTTCAAGTAAGTGATTTTTGGCTTTTATGAAGTAACGAAGTTTAACGAGTCCGAGTCTACGTGGAGTGCGCATGACTTTGCACAGCTTTTTAATTTCATGCAGTCATTTGTGCGATAGTACACTTTTGCCAAATATTTTGATTTTAATTCAAAATTAACATCATCTGTAACCCCTACTGGTCTGAAAATGTTATTTTACGACAATAATTAGGAAATAGCGTTGAAATGGCTCTAACGACGTCACCATTTTTTTGTGATTTTGTGAGCAATGCATGATGCTGAAAAATTACGCATGACTCGCTTGTATGTTTAAGACGTCCATGGATATTATACAAAAACTGATGACAGAACACCCAAAGAAACATACTAGCAATCTAAACATTGCTATTTTTAACCTTAAGAAAATCTTTAGCGCTGATAATTCATCTGCACTGTTATGTATTTATACCGTAATATGGCAGTTTTAGAGGTATTGGGCTTCGAAAATTAATTCCTAGACCAACCTAGATGGTGGACTTTTTTTAAATTTCGCAGTTTTGAGACTTTTTACAATAATTTTCATCTACTTGAATGAAAAAGAAATCTCTAGGGTAAAAAAAAAACCAAAAAAAAAAAAATATGGGGAAATGTGATAATTTGGCGCTTTCAAACAAATTCCCAGAGGGTTCAATACTTGTTATTCATACCGCGGACATTTTGAATCCAGAGCGAGGCTAGGAACGCAAACATGGCAGTGTGCTCTAAGTCGCAGGAGGAGTCTGGCACTTTGAGTAAAACCTCCAGTACGTCCCCCCTCTCACCCAGGACAAGGTGGAGAAGTGGGCCAATGACACAGCTTAATCCCCAGGTCAAAACAACAGAAGGGGTACGGGAACGTCTTAGAAGGCTATATACATGAGGTCGAAAGTAAGTGCCTGCTCGAGATTGAATGTGTTTACAAGCACGATGATATAACAAATATTGGTTGGGTGATATTTATTTAAATGCATAATTCAACTAAGGTGTTAAGTTTAAACCTGTTCTGTTATTTATCGGTATGCTTAAAGAATAACATTTAATCGACTGGGTATATACTGGCATCGCCCGAATTTTCTCGAGAATCCTTCAAGCTGAAATATTACCGCTGATATGCTTATGGTGTAAACATGAAATGCATTAAAAGCAGCATTATATTTATTTTGGTTAAATATTAATCTTGACTTCAGTTTTTATAATACTGTTGTCTCTTGTCTTTAGTACAAACATGCAAGGATGCTGTTCGAGTCAGGGCCAAGGCCTTCCCATCCATGAAAAAAAAATAACCCACCATATAAATTGATGGTTGGCTAGTTCAAAAGTTTAAATGTTATTTATTGTTAGTTTTTGGTTGGTTCTTTTATTTTTGAATTGCTTTTTTCTTTTGCATATATCTTTAATGATATTATTTTCTTTTTCCTGAATAATTTAAATTTGAGAGAGTTATGTAAATATTTTGAAAAATAATCACCAAAACTAGGAGGTGGGGATCCAATTAATTAATAAAGAACTCAGTATGGACTATTCAGACTAAGAATCATGCATTTGCATATTTTTTACATGCCACCAGTTTCAATGCCAGTTCTCATTTAAATTGTGATTTTTGTTTGTATTTAAGTTTTTTAAAACTTTGTACATCATTTCTTTTATTTTAATATAATAAAAACAATTACATTTATTATTAAATAATAGTGTTGTGTTTTGCGTGCACTAAATAATAGTCAGGGTTTGACTCATGGTGCACGAGCCAGAGGCAAAATGGAAGCCGTGCACTATTTCGACATAGTCTGCATACGCTATATAATTCCTTAAAACACCTATTCAATAGTGGTTGGGTATGTGTTAGTGTTACATAGAGTCAAACTGACAGGAAGCATAATAATGTATGATATTCGATTTTTCTTGAATGTCAGATGGGAGATTGAATAATATGAATATTGGTATATAATTTGTAGTAAATTATGTATAATTTTATTTAAGGAACATGAACTGAACTTTGTACTTGATTAATAAATAACTGTGTTATAATCAATGTTTACATGGCAAGGTTTAATTGATATATTCTACTGTATTAGTGTATAATTTATGTCTGTGTTTTATAATTTTTGTTGTTTTTAGTAGACTTTTTCTTTCAAATCGGTTAAAAAAATCTTTTCTTTTATAGGTAGAGTTGTGTAAAACATCTTCAGTTATTTTGCTCTCACAGTGTGAGTGCAAAGCTGGGAATGGGCACTGCAGTCATAGCATAGGACTGCTGTACCTTTTATGTCACTACCAAAGGTATCAAATATGCAAATTTCGCACATGTTGGAAAGGTTTCATAATGTAACAGTTATAATGACATCTATCATTTCTTATTTTATTTTGAAATCAAAATACAAATAACAAAATAAAGATCTTAAAGATAATCCTGGTAGTTAGTCTGTAATTGCACCTATAACAAATGAAAATAAATTTTTAAAAACTAAATTGCTGAGGGTGGTAAAATAATATGTAGTTGGTTTTATGCTTTAAGACTCGGATTGAAGGCTGTACCCCCAATTCAGAGCAAAACGTCTTTACCACAGACGTGGCATATTCCCCAGAGAATGGAGGGTTTGGAACCAAAGCCTGTACACAGTTTGGAGATTTTCAAGGTATTTTTGAATAAAGAATTTTTATTTTTTTAATTTTTTTTTTAATTTTAGATTCTAAAAATATTTCATGTAGTTAAGATAACATTCAATTAATATTCACCAAAGAAATCTCTTGCCAAACAAGGCAGTGCCTGGCTTTGTTATAAATTGAATGGTTATCATGGGGGTAAAACATATTGCAGTATAAAGCTATACAGACATAAATTCTGCAGTAGACATATTTTCTTGTATCACCTTTGCCAAGCAATGTTAATTGTGACATTTATTCATGCTTAAGAACATGGTTTCATCGTTGAGAGGGTAATAGTGTTCTTTAACAAATGTTTAAATATTACACGTTGTATATTGGTAAATGTGAAATTTTTCTTTAATAATTTAACAGGTGAACCCTAAAAAGGAACCACCAAAGAAAAAAAGGCGAGTAACTGAAGGAGTGTTACCAAACCTGTACTGTCCAGTTCAGACAGTTCCAAGTGAACAGTTCAGAAGCACATTGCTCGAGAATCTAACAACACTGAAAAGTGATGCTCAGATTGTACGCTTATTATCACCTTCAGATGTCATCGAATCTTCATCCAAGTTTGGACCAGTACCAAAAGGTTCCATACTTTCTTACCAACAGAAACAGATGACTGATATTGCTGACATTATAAATAACAATGAACAGCAAAGTTTTCCAGGATTTTTACTACCAGAACAACCCAATTACTATCATAGAGTGTTGAACCGTGCTGAGTATGACATTTTTATGGGAATGGACACTAATCTAACACATGCGCTAGAATTAGAGGAGCAGACTCGCGCACAGAGTGCTACTAAATTATGGCATGAAATTCGCCGCCACAGGATCACCTCTACCATGTTTAAAGACATATGTGTCAGGAGAGCAAATCAAGAAATACTGGCAGTGCGTCTTCTAAAAAGCAAAAACATTCAAACTTCAGCGATGAAATTTGGCTTGGAAAATGAACCTGCTGCAGCTAAATTGTATTCCGATATAACTGGAAATAATGTCTACTTGTGTGGTTTTGTAATTAATCCAAGTTCTCCTTACCTTGGAGCATCTCCTGACAGAAAGATTTTTGATCCAAATTCTACACCACAATATGGGCTCCTGGAGATCAAATGTCCTGACAAAGATTCTTTCCAGGAATGTGTATACCTTAAAGTTACCAATGATGGGACTTACAAATTGAAGCAAACTCACCAGTACTACTACCAAGTGA